AAAAAAAAAAAAAAAAAAAAAGTTTTCAAAGCCTAATTTCCACCAGATACATTTATTTTCCGTTGAAAGCAGAATTAAAACAATACGCGCGAGTAGATGCCATTAAACTTAAGCCATCTTTTGCTGTTAATCACAGGAGAGAATGATTACAAAAGTCAGTAAAGGAGCACTGTGTTTTAAACGCAAAAATCCAGATTTTTAGGAAGAATAAGCTCAGAGGAGGAGGAGGACTGAAGCAGCCCAAGAAACAAGGAGGGACCCTGAATAAGAGTTAAAATTCAGTGTCAGGTTACTTCTCGATATTGCAGGGAACATGCCGTTCCTGGAAGGGATTTGTGGTTGTGAAATGCATCCCTTGCTAAAATACCGTTTGATGCTTGTGTCGAAGAGGAAACCAAAACAATCTTTGCCTTTTAAGCCCCGATTTCAAAACAAAACGAAAAGAAAGAGGAGAAGAGAAGAGAAGAGAAGAGAAGAGAAGAGAAGAGAAGAGAAGAGAAGAGAAGAGAAGAGAAGAGAAGAGAAGAGAAGAATCCCTCTAAATTTCAAACTGCAGCTTTGAACAGCTTTCCTGGCGATATTTGCTTCCAACCTCACAGGCGGAGTGCCCCTGTGCTCCCGAGGTCTCCCTGCCCTCCCTTCCCCCGTTTCTGCTGTTTGGATGGTAGGTTCAGAAGCAAATGCCCTGCTAAATAATTGCTAGAATCTGGGGAGGGGGAGAGGGGAAAAAAAAAAAAAAGAAGGGAAAATGCGCACCAGCATTCAGGTGCTAACCTACTTATTTGAAAGTAATTTATTTTCCATTTTGCCCGTTTTCCCCCTTTAAAACAGAACGCTGAAAGAAAGAATAAGTGCTTTAACATTTCAATGTTGTGCTCTGGTAATTACTTTTTCACTTTTCCCCTAAGTTCCAATGTGAAAACCTCACAGGGGGGTCTTTGCTGCAGCAGGGCTACAGTTCGCAATCCCAAGCGCAAGATCTGCAATTACAAACCCATTCGGTGCCCTTCCCTATCATTAATATGCACAAAATCCAGCCGCTAATCTTATAATCTGTTTTGTTTCATCGATTGCTTGCCTAGCACCAGGCGGGAAAGAAAAAGAGAGAAAGAAAAAGAAAGAAAGAGCAGAAGAAGAAAGCCGGAAAAAACGGGAAGCTTCCTGAAGTAAACGAAAAAGCAAATAAATCGGATTTTATGTCTTATAAAGCGAAAACGGTTAAGACTGTTAAATGGAAGCAGGATTTTCCGCTGAGGGTGTGCGTCAGGGAAATTTAAGGAGAAATCTGAACACATCCAGCGGCGGAAGGAAACGCAAGGACTTGCACGGTTGATTTCTCCGCGTACGGGTCACGAAATGAAGTTCCTTAAGCAGTCAGCTGCGGGAGCAAGAGGTTGCGCGTAAACGCCTCAAGAAAGCTTATTATTATGTCTTGGGTTGAGTGCGGGAGCGGAGGCGGCGGGCGGGGTTCGGGTG